CTCCAGATTTCCTCATGTATCACCGCACCTCCTCCCTCAGCACTCTGTTATATGCTTTTTCTAAGACAACAAAGACACAATGGAGTTCTCTCTGACCTTCTCTCTACTTCTTCATCAGCATCCTCAAAGCAAAGATGGCGTCTGTCGTGCTCTTCCTCAGCATGAAACCATACTACTGCTCACAGTCACCTCTCGCCTAAGTCTAGTTGCTACAACTCTGTACATCACCCTTGTTACTAAAAATAGGCAGCAGCACACTTCTTCATTCTGCAGGCATTTTCGCACCCTCAAATATGCCATTCGAGTCAAAAACCTCACTTCCATCTCTCCAAGACATTTCCAAACCTCCACTGGTATTTCAGTAGGTCCTACTGTTTTCCCCTTCTTCATTCTTTTCAGATCTTTCCAAATTTGACCTTCACTAACTTTTCCATTTTTCCTTCCCTACAACTTGGGGTGGCTGTGACTGAGTGGTTAGAGCAGTCGACCTCCAATGCAAGAGTTGGGGGTTCGATTCCACCAGCAGTCGTGTGTCCCTGGGCAAGACACTGAACACATCATTGCCTCTGATGTGTGTCCCATCGGTGTATGAATGTGATAAAGCATTGATTATTCTTTGTACAGCAGTAGTAGAGTGCTGTGCGAATGGGTAAATGAGGGCAAAGATTGTGTTGTAAAGCACTTTGAGTATCTTGATAAGATAGAAAAGCACTAGATAAGTACACTGCATTTTCCCACTTCCTGGTCCACAGCTTCCATGATCTCTACTCTTCTTTCTCTTTCATTCTCTTCATCCATCAGCTTCTCAAAGTACAAAGTACTTATTCCATCTTCCCATCACACTCTCCTCACTTGTTACATTACAATTCCTATCTTTGAAGCCTAACCTGCTGCACCTCCTTTCCAGCCTGATCCCTCTGTTTTGCTAAGTCCTTCTCACCCTCTTTAGTATCCAGCCTCCTATATAACTCATCATACACCTTCTTCTTGGATACCTGGATTATTGAGCATGGACTTTGTTGTTCATACACCTTCTTCTTTGCCTTTGTCACCTCACTCTTTGCTCTACATTGCATCTCCTTATATTCCTGTCTCCTCTCTTCAGTCCTCTCACTGTCATATTTCTTCTTGACTAACCTCTTTCTTTGATATGCTTCCTACACTTCACTATTCCACCACCAGGTTTCCTTATCATCCATTCTCTATCCAGACGACACACCAAGTACCTTCTTCCTACCTGTCTCTCTAATTACTGTTGCTGTAGTAGCCCAGTCATTTGGAAGCTCTTTCTTACCACCCAGAGCCTTTAATGGCTCCTCTCTGAACCCCTCACAACATTCTTCTTCAGCTTCCACCATTTGGTCTTCTTCTCTGGTTTTATTCTTTTTCCTTCTTCTTAACAACAGTCAACCATCCGATGCTGTCTGGCCACGCTCTCCCCTGCCACAACCTTATAGTCACCAGTCTCCCTCAGGTTGCCTCTTCTACACAGAATGTAGTCTACCTTGTACGAATCTAGTCCAGAATGTAATCTATTTTTTTAGGTATGTTTTTAAGCATGTTTGCACTGAAAAAGTAGTGGCTCTCAATCTCTTTGTACTTGTGTATAATGACAATAAAGGCATTCCATTCCATTTACCGGTTTACTCCTTCCTCCACTCTAATAGATCAATGTCTTTTAGAAATAAGTGGTGACTACAGCAATTTCCTTTCTCTTGGCAGAATCTACCACCATCTGTCCTTCCTGGTTTCTTTCCTTGACACCAAACCTACCCATCACTTCCTCATTCTCTCTGTTTCCTTCACCAACATGTCCATTCAGGTCTGCTCCAATCACCACTCTCTTCTCCCTGGCAATACTCTCTATCACTTCATCCAGATCCTTCCAAAATGTATCTTTCTCCTCCACATCTCATCCAACCTGTGGAGCATAAACACTAAGAACATTAAACATCAGACCTTCTACTTCCACCTTCAGGCACATCACCCTATCTGACACTCTTTTCACCTCTACTACCTTCTTTGCCAACTCTTCCTTCAGGACCCCACCTACTCCATTTCTCTTTCTATCCACACCATGGTAAAACTGTTTAAACCATGCTTCAATGCTGCAGGGCCTATCTGTCTTTCCACTTGTTCTCTTGGGACACATAAAACATCTACCTTCTTTCTCTGCATCATGCTAGCCAGCTCTCTACATTTGCCTGTAATTGTCCCCACATTTAGAGTTGTCCTACCTCAGGTCTACCTAGTAGACCCTTAGGTCTAGTAGACCCTTAGGTCTAGTAGACCTGAGTGTTTACCTAGTAGACCCTCAGTCCCCCAGTCCTACATTCTTGACTTTCCTTTTCTCCCTCATCTCCTGATACGTTTCCCTCCTGGTGGTTTTCAATTAACAGTAGCACAATTCCCAATGGCACCTTGTTTGTCACCAGCACCAGTGGCGGTTGTTGTTTACCAGTGTCTTGACCGATCCGGTATGGTGTCACTTAAATTAACTTGCATGTTACCCTTCCATCTGTTATGTTTTACCTCCTTCTTCCTTCTTGGGTCACAGGGGTCACTGGTTTCCATATCCAGCAGTCACTGTGCAAGAGGTGGGGGACAACCTGGACAGGTCTTTAGTTCATCATAGGAACACATAGAGAAAAACGAGACAAACAACCATTCACTCTCTCACTCACACCTACCAATCAGCCTAACATGCATGTTTTTGATCTGTGGGAGGAAACCGGAGTACCCGGAGAAAACCCACATGTGCACAGAGAAAACATGCAAACTTCACCCAGAAAGACCCCAGCTGGGATTTGAACAAGCAACCTTCTCGCTGAGAGGTGGCAGCTCTACAAACTGTTCCACCGTGCCACTAACTCACATGTCAGTTTTGGCAAAAGTGTTTTATGTTGGATGCCCTTCCTGACAACCCTCACCATTTACCCGGGCATGGGACACACACAAACGATTCCTACCCTGTGCTTCCTAGTAGCTGTTTTAAAAATATATATATCTTTTCAGCTAATATTTTACTGTTTTAGCTAGAATTTAGCTACTTTAGGTTTCTAGTTAGCCTTTTGTTATTTCTCATTCATTCAACCTTTATTTATGCAGGTTAGTCTCACTGAGTCACGAAACCAGCCACTAGGGAGCACAAGCCAGTGTATCTCTTGTGCTGGTCCCAAGCCCTGGTAAATGGTGAGGGTTGTGTCAGGAATGGCATCCGATGTAAAACACTTTTGCCAAAATCATAATGCGAGTTCATCAAAGCAAAACCATACAGGATCGGTCGAGGCCCGGGTTAACAATGACCGCCACCGGTGCTGTTGACAAACAGGGTGCCGGCGGAAATTGTGCTACTGTTAGTCGAAGACAACGAGGAGGGAAACGTGTAGGAGATATGGATGCAGTTAGAGAGGACATGAAGATAGTTGGAGTGAAGACAGAAGATACAGAGGACAGAGTGAGGTGGAGGAGGATGACTTGCTGTGGCGACCCCTGAAGAGGGAAAAGCCGAAAGAAGAAGAAGTCTCATTGAGTCACGAGGACTCATTTATTTTCAAGAAAGACCTGTTTTAAACAAAAAACATAAATGAGGTACACACACCAATAAGCATTCTTATGAAAGTCCATCCATCCATCCATCCATCCATCCATTTTCTTCCGCTTATCCGGGGTTGGGTCGCGGGGTTAGCAGCCTAAGTAGGGAGGCCCAGACTTCCCTCTCCCCAGCCACTTGGGCCAGCTCTTCCAGGGGAATCCTGAGGCGTTCCCAGGCCAGCCGAGAAACATAGTCCCTCCAGCGTGTCCTGGGTCTTCCTCTGGGCCTCCTTCCGGTGGGACGTGTCTGGAACACCTCACCAGGGAGGCGTCCAGAAGGCATCCTAAACAGATGCCCGAGCCACCTCAACTGGCTCCTCTCGACGTGCTGCCTCTCAGCGAGCAGGTCCTTGGTTCAAACCCCGGTCCAGGGGCCTTTCTGGGTGGAGTTTGTACGTTCTCTCCGTGCATGCGCGGGTTTTCTCCGGGTACTCCGGTTTCCTCCCAAAGACCAAGAAACATGCATGTTAGGTTGATTGGTAACTCTAAATTGTCCCTAGGTGTGAGTGAGAGAGTGAATGGTTGTTTGTCTCGTTTGTCTCTATGTGGCCCTGTGATGGACTTGCGACCCGTCCAGGGTTTACCCCGCCCCCCGCACAGTTATCGCTGGACATGGGTACTGGCGACCCCCGTGACCCAAAATGGAAGAAGCGGGTAAAGATAATGAATGGAACTCAAGTTTCAGCTACTTCAGTAAATTTGGCATTTAGCACTCCTGGTCCTCTTCAGTCTTGACTGCCTAAGACTGAAGAAGTGTTCTGGATAAAAGACGAAACGTATCAACAAAGAAGAATCCGTCCAGAGGACTTGACTCAACCTTCATCTATTTATGTTTCGTAATGCAATTTTTTTTATCTTTATTTAGAACTTCTCTTCAAATACAAGAATCCAAAAAGTACACACTAAATAACATTGAATTTATCAAAAAAGGAAGAAAAAAGGAAGCAAACGATAACAAAATAAGCTAAATTGAAAAAAATAAAACAAAAAATACAAAGACAAATAAATGCGAGTAACAAAGTTAAGTTGTATTCATTACAGATATTTTTTGTTTTTATAGCCTTTTTGTTATTTGAGTCTGAGATTGTATCAAGATACAGTTTTACATCCATTACAAAGAGATCAAAAAAAAGATTTCCTGTGCATTATTTTACTTTTATGGATATGGAACTTAGCAAGAAAAAAGATCATATTGATAATAAATACGTGAGAGAAGTCTTTTGTCTTGAAATGTAGGATACCAAACAGAACATTTTCAAAATAGAGAAGGAAACCTGGTTGGATATTATTGGATAGCAGAGCAACAATGTCCTCCCAAAATTCGTAATGCAATTTTATTTTGTGAATCGACACCGGAAACGCGTCATCGTCAGCAGTCACGTGACAGCTTTCCTGCCGAAGCAGTAAATATCAGCCAAGCTAGCAGATACAGGTAAGCGAGGTACAGCGTGTTCAAAGGGACTGGACAATGTGTGGTCATCCGTAGCCGGTCCAGAGTGTTCAGGAGGCCGCGTGGGTCGTTTCTCTGAGGGATGAACCTCCAGCCTCGGCCGTGACCGTGAAGGAGGCTCCATCAAATCCCGCTTCTTCGCTCGTTAGCCCGCCGCGCTAATAGGAGAGGCGCCGCTGCTGCTGGTGACTATGCAAGGGGAAACTGCGGCGGTGCGAGTCACGGAAAACGACGGAAAGCTGGATGTGTTTCCCCAGAACAGGACCCCGAGTTCGGGGAGGGCGAGTGCCAAGAGTTGGCAGTACAGGTGGGTGTTCGCCGTCCAGGCTGGTTTTACTGTGGTGTGTTGTCCTGCCAGCTGACTCACTGGTTTTATCAGGGTGGGCGCCCTTTGAGCCTCAGCTGTCTGAAGGAGCCCCCTCTGACAGATTAGTGTGTTTACCTTTGGGTGTGCACTCAGTACAAACATTGTGTTTTTTTCCAAATCAGTGATCACATGGAGAACATTGATGGCTACCTGATGAAATACACAAACCTGGTAACAGGCTGGCAGTACAGGTGAGTGTTTACTACTTTTTAAAGCCCTAAAAGTGATGATTTGATGGATATTTGCCACAACTTGTAGACAAATGCTGATTACCACAGTTGGTTTATTTGTTTCCCCTACTTAAGACTTTGTGCATATCCAAGTTCAGTCAGGTCATCTGGACAGTTTCTATTTTTGTGGAAATGTTTAATCCTTCATCCAAAGGACTTGTTTGTTGGATTTTATTTATTTATTATTATTATTATTTTTACCTGGAGTATTGCGCATGAACTTTGATGGTTTGAACCACTTTGGCTATGGCTGCCTAGGTGGAGTCCAGAATCCAGTTTATCACCATCAAACTGGTCGGCCCACTATGTGAGTGTGCTGCTTGTGGGACTGAGTTTGTTGTGGCTCCTCGGACTGATGAAGTCCTTTGGATGAAGGACGAAACGTCTCATAAAAAAGAAACCGTCCAGATGACCTGACTTTGTTGGATTTTATTTTTTTTTAACCTGGATTATTGAGCATGAACTTTGATGTTCGTGTGCCTACTTTGTGCTGTTTTAGCTGCTTGTACATCAGAACCTTCGGCTCATTCAGCTGAACAGTGCTGTGTGCTTTGGTTTCCATAACTTTTATACTTTTCAAACTATTCCTCTGTATTTACTAATATTTTCCCCATAGCAATATACAAAGCTCTTAATTTTTCTTCATTTACATCTACTTTTAGCTAGATTTTTGTAGCTTTTTGCTATTTAGCTAACTTTTGGATATATCTGCTGCTTTTAGCTTCTTCAAACTTTAAATTCTAAGTAGCCGTTTTTATATTTATAGCTTTAGCCGACCAGAATACTTTTAAGCCAGTGGTTCCCCAACTTTGGTCCCTGAGGAACACCATCCTGCATGTTTTAGTTGTTTCCCTGCTCCAAAACACCTGATTTGGTGATTTAATTACTTTCTCATGTTCTACAGAAGCCTGTAAATCACCTATTTATCAAAATCAGGTGTGTCGGAGCAGAGAAACCACCAAAACTTGCTGAACGGCGTCCCTCAGGGACCAGTTTTTGGAACCCCTGCTTTAAGCTATCATTTTGAATATGATATTGGGATTACAGGAACGGCTCTAAAATAGTTTAAATCATACTTGTTTGATAGATTCCAGTTTGTACATGTAAATAATGAATCTTCATACACCAAAGTTAGTCATGGAGTTCCTCAGGGTTCAGTGCTTGGACCAATACTCTTTACTTTATCTATTACAAACAGGTCTCTTTTGTAAATGAGTCCTCGAGGCTCAGTGAGACTAACGTGTATAAATAAAGGTTAAATGAACTTTGATACTTTATTTTTTCTAGCATTTTATTACTCTAACCTTTTGCTTCTTTTAGTTTGTGCTTAGCTTCTCTTTGCGTTTAGCTTGTTCTGCTTCTTATAGCATTAACCAAGTTTCAGCTTCTTCATCGCGTTTCAGCAGTCATTCAGCGGTTAGACAGACGTGCTGCTGTTTCTTCCAGGTTCTTCGTCCTGAACAACGAGGCGGGACTGTTGGAGTATTTCGTCAACGAGCAGTCGCGTCCACAGAAGCCCCGCGGCATGCTCCCCCTAGCCGGGGCCGTCATCTCCCCCAGTGACGAGGACTCTCATACCTTCACGGTGAACGCCATCAGCGGGGAGCAGTACAAGCTCCGAGGTGAGACTCCTTGCTTAATGGACCGCAGGAAGTAGATTTAGATTCTTACAGTTGGCTGCAGAGCCTTCCTGTCGTCATCGTCCGTCTTGTTCTTGCAGTATTGATCCGAACGTTTCCTCATTATCCGCTGCCGGTGAAGCAGGAGCGCGCGGGGAATCGATGCAGAGTGGGATCGTGCTCGAGCGTCTGTAATAAGGCTTTTCTTTTTTTCTCTTTTAGCCAGTGACGCCAAAGAGAGGCAGCACTGGGTGAGCCGGCTGCAGATCTGCACACAGCACCACACTGAGGCCATGGGGAAGGTGAGTTCCTCCCCAAAAAAGGAAGCTCGTCTCTTTCTGATCGTGGTTCCAATGCGGCAGCTCGTGTCATCTAACAGAAAAAGCAGCATGAGATCATTTCCAGCACCAAAATGTTGTTTCTCCAACTAAAGCATGTGGCTCGTGTATGTGTGGGGGCGTGAGCTGGACAGGTTTCAGTTTCCTGTTGACGCTCGCTGCATTCCAAAGGAGCAATCGAGCAGCGTTTTTGTAAGAACAGCTCAGGTTTTACTCTGCGTGTATGAACAGTGATCTTTAGTATTGATCTGTGGACTGCCCACTGTCTGCTTTAATTATCTAGACATAGAGGTGTCGAACTCAGTCACGAAAAGGAGCCAAAATTTTCAAAACTTTGTCTGAGCTACGGGCCACTTTCAGCTGGTACATTAACTCGAGTCGGATGCCCGGGATCTTTTCTTCGTTGCAGGTTCATCAACAAGAGTTTGATCTGTCTCATTTGACATTCTGTTGCTTTTTGCACACCCGAGTCGATAATGATAGAATGACCCAGCCTTTTTTTCTGGCTTTAAAGTTAACCAGCTCGTAAGAGAAGTCTACACTAAATTTAAGTCTATTAGTTTTTTTTTAAGACAAATGAGAAGATATACAATATTTTACATTTAAATGATCTTTTTGGGAGACCAGTTCTTGAGTTTGACATATGTGAAACGTTTTCTTCACTCAGACGTAATATTTCTTTCCCTCTGACCTGATGGAAGGCGAGCGACATGCATTCCTGGAAGGACAGTCTAAGCGATTATTCGATTTTAGGTTGAACTCCTCTAGTTTTATTTATTTATGCTGTCTGCATGTTTTCAATCTAACCCAAACAGTTTGTGGCTTTTATGCTAACAGCGCGTACTGGTTTTCTCCATTTATTTTAATTTTTTTACAGAGTAACCCCCCTCCTGATTCCCGCAGCTACTCCGTGGCGTCTCAAGGCAGTGGCAGCTCCCCCATGTCTCTGCGGCGGCCGAGCCAAAACGCCAACACTCTGTTTGGCTGGGCGCAGAGCCACAAAGGCTCGACGCTCTACTCCAGCAAGCGGTCCATGATGCCGGACCACCTGGTGGACGCCAGAGAGGTAAAACAAGTCAACACTTCTGTGTTTATTCAACCCAAACGCAAACTTTATTTGCTTCAAAAGTTGCAAAAGTCTTGATAAAAGAAGCACTAAGCTAGGTTAAAGTTTCAAAAGGCTCGTTAAAAGTAGCGCTAAGCTAGCTTAAAGTTGTAAAAGGCTCGTTAAAAGAAGCGCTAAGCTAGGTTAAAGTTGCAAAAGGCTCGTTAACAGAAGCGCTAAGCTAGCTTAAAGTTGCAAAAGGTTCGTTTAAAGAAG